AATTTAGGCTTTTATGCGCCTACTAAATTTTATATAATTGTGACATTAATGATAAAAATGCATAAAAGCCACAGGAATACAATGGTTTGATCACCTTGGACTTTCTTCCGCGTACTATCTCAATGACCCAGACTGAATTTTCAATTTTATTTTTTAAATGCACAGAATATCATGTCATTTTTGTTTTGAGTTTAAATCAACCATTAGTGTATTACGCCTAATTGATATAGACTCTATTATATGTTATGTATTCAAACTATAGTGTATACATTCATTTATAGTCATAAAATAATAAAGTGAAAAATTTTATTGTATTGGGCACTTTCTTTTAGAAGGCTAGAATAATCTACGTTACTATCTATTTTTTTATAGTGTAAAATGAGATATAACGGCACCTGATCAACGTTAGTATAAATACATTGTGCCAACATGGTTTGATGACGTTGCGTAAACATTATCGGTCCGACGTTGACTCAACTAATCGGACCAACGTCTTTACAACTGCCTGAATCGACGTTGGCCCAATGGAAAAGCGAACGTCTAGGCAACATCAGAAAAAGTACGTTGGCCCAATGTAGTTTGATGACGTTGCACAAACATATCAGCCCGACGTTCCTCCCACTAGTCGAACCGACGTCTTTTCAACTGGCTGAATCGACCTTGGCCCGATGTAAAAACGTCTAGGCAACATTAGAAAGGTACGTTGGGCCAACGTGATTGGACGACGTTGCACAAACATTATCGGGCCATCGTAGATCCAACTAGTCGGGCCGACGTCTTTCCTACAAGCGGAATCCACGTTGGGCCGATGGAAAAACGGCCGTCGGGCCAACCTTTGTGTAAGTACGTTGTGCCAACGTAATTATTTGACCTTCAACCAACGTCAGCCCGACGTTGATCCAACTAGTCGGGCCGACGTCTTTCCAACAAGCTGAATCCACGTTGGGCCGATGGAAAAACGGCCGTCGGTCCAACCTTTGTGTACGTACGTTGTGCCAACGTAATTATTTGACCTTCAACCAACGTCGGCCCGACGTTGATCCAACTAGTCGGGACGACGTCTTTCCAACAAGCTGAATCCACGTTGGGCCGATGGAAAAACGGCCGTTGGGCCAACCTTTGTGTAAGTACGTTGTGCCAACGAAATTATTTGACCTTCAACCAACATCGGCCCGACGTTGATCCAACTAGTCGGGCCGACGTCTTTCCAACAAGCTGAATCGATGTTGGGCCGATGGAAAAACGGCCGTCGGGCCAACCTTTGTGTAAGTACGTTATGCCAACGTAATTATTTGACCTTCAACCAACGTCGGCCCGACGTTGATCCAACTAGTCGGATAGACGTCTTTGCAACTGGCTGAATCGACGTTGGCCCGATGGAAAAATGAACGTCTAGGCAACATCAGAAAGGTACGTTGGGCCAACGTGATTGGTCGACGTTGCACAAACATTATCGGGCCAACGTAGATCCAACTAGTCGGGCCGACGTCTTTCCAACCAGCTGAATTCACGTTGGGCCGATGGAAAAACGGCCGTCGCGCCAACCTTTGTGTAAGTTCGTTGTGCCAACGTAATTTTTCGACCTTCAACCAACGTCGGGTCAACGTCGCTTGCTAGCTGGGTTGTTTGTACATGGCGTCTCTAAACAATAAATTCCAGAAAGGCTGCATGGATTGCAATATGTTTTTCTTTAATGTTTGTTTACATGTTTTTGGAGAAGCTTTTTTAACTACCAAAAATATTTTTAATCATAATTTCCAATTGCAAAAACAAAAACAGACAATACAAAATATGCAAGACTAGGCTTCAATAGCTAGCTGCCAGCAAATTAAAGCTAAAAATAATAAAACAAAAAAAATCCATAGTCAGCTAGCTGCCAGGGCTTCTCTCTTCAGAGATTATGTTCAACAGATAAATCCCCCATTGGAAACATGTCATGCGCAGAAACCAAAAGCTCCACGGAATTGTTGAAGCGGAACTCTCAGCAAAAGTAGATTATAAAGATGTGGGTTAGGAAAAAAGTCCTGAGAAGGTCCATGAAACCATTCATGCGTTAACTCAGACATATAAAGATGTGGGGCGAATCACTCATGCGGAACTCTGCTATCCAAGTTGTTGGCTCATTGTGTGCACTGTAGCGTGTATCTAAATACAACGGCGGGGTAAAATTAGAAGATGTAACAGCAGTATGTTCCACTAACTTAAATTTCGTACTCGGTAAAATGTGTTATACCGAGCCGATTTTTATCATTCAAAAGTCGTTATGAGGTGCTAGTTAACGTTTAATAATATTTTTGGAAAGAAAATAATGAAATTATGTCTCTAAATAGAAGTTCATATGCACCAGCCAAATATAGCAGAATTGTTTATCAGAGAGATTAATCTGTGAATAAACTATTTTAACTACTCGTGTAAATATAAAGATGTAGGTAACCCACATCTTTATATACGACTTTTCATGGATCCCGACCTGCTATGGACTTTATGAACACTGATTTATTATAAACTCGGATATTTCTGCCACTCCTGTGGCCTTCATCAGCGATAATCATATATATATATATATATATATATATATATAGATTAAAAGGCAAAATACTGGAAAACAACAATGCTGTGGGAAACAATGGCTGGATCTCAGTAGAGATACAAAAATGATAAGCAACAGCTAAAAAAGTAAACGTAAGTAAACAGCCAGAAATAGAACCAGAGCTTTCGGACAACACTAGTCCT